ATTACTAGAATAAAGCACTAACCAGTTGAAGTTGTAAACTTTAAACAGACTTTATTGCCTATTATGTAGAGTCAAACAAAAGCATAAAACATGGTGTCAGAAGTGTAGTGACCATGGACTCATTCCTGAAATCGGCGTACAGCCAGGAAGAATGATTTACAGAGTCGAACTGTTCACGTTCCGAGCAAGTTTGCAGCAACCGAGTACACGCGAAGTCGTCGTACAGTGGACAGATTAGCGAATGGTTCGTAGCATAGCATCCATAAACGCGACGTCGTTGAGCAGCGGTGAATATGACTTATGAACATTGTCGCAATAGACTTGACTCGTCAGTCGATGTACTGTGAACTATCAATAATAATTACGATGTTTAGTTATTTTGGTTGTTTTACGTGTGCATTGTTTGGAATGAAATGGTGTGGATTTATGGAAAGAGTGCATTAATATCAGAATTAATACTCGATAAGTCCAATCAGTCTGGTTCATTCATTCAGTGGGTTTAGCAGTATAGTTTACTCCGTATTAGAATTTGCTGATTTGTTACTGTAAGTGTAATTGTATAGGCGGTAGAGATAACCATGTCTAACACTGAGGCAGTACAAGATCCTCCCCAGAGGGGAAGTGAAGAGTCAGAAGGAGTAAATGAAACTGGGACTAACCAGGGTCAGGTCTTGAGTGATAACAATACTGATAATGATAGTGTTAGGACCAGAAATAGGCCGGGCAGTACAAGTAGAACAAATGTGCCACTCCCAAGACCTCTTTCGGTAAAAGGGGATATGAAGAAAAACTGGGGTATTTTCACCCAGATGTGGGACAGTTATGAGGTCATAACTGGGTTAGAACACGAAAGTAATAAAATTCGTGTGGCACATTTCATAACGGCACTAGGAACTGATGCATTGGAGATTCAACAAGGCCTCCCTTTCAGAAATGAGGAGGAAAGAAAGAGTTATAAATGCATAAGAAAACTCTGGTCTGAATATTGTGTCGGGCAAACAAACATTACTTTTGAAAGATATCAGTTCAATAAGTGTGTTCAGAATACTGATGAGTCAGTTGAGAATTATTATGTGAGGTTAAGGTCTCTTGCAAGTACTTGTGAGTTTGGTACTCTAACTGATGACCTCATCAGAGATCGAATCGTTCTAGGGATTAGAGACGATAATACAAGAAAACGTCTTTTGCAAGAGCCAAATCTTACTCTGTCTAGTTGTTTGGATATCTGCAGAGCTATGGAGTCATCCAAAGCTCAGAGCAAAGCCATGCAGGAACCAGTATCTGCCTATGCAGTGTCCCATAAACCAAAGGTTTGGAAGCATAGTGGGGGTAAGGGCAAGAAGCTAGCTCCTAAATTGATTAATTGTGGTTTCTGTGGTAAGCAGCATGAAAAAGACAAATCAAAATGCCCAGCTTATGGCCAAAAGTGTAAGCTGTGCAAAAGAGAAAATCATTTCGCTGTGAAATGTAGACAGAATAAGAACAAGGCTCACAGAGTAGAGACAATTGAAGAGGATGAAGATTCTGAACAAGAGTGTGTATATGTTTCTCTGATAGGCACAGATGAAGCATTTCAGGTATCTGCTGATAGTAAGAGTCCAAATTATCAGAAAAAGATCATTGCAAAGTTTAGAATCAATGACGAAGACGAGATTGGTATGCAGGTTGATTGTGGAGCGACATGTAATGTTATCCATCTAGAAGATGTTCCATCTGGGACAGAGTTAACTAGTACAAATCAGGTTCTGATTGTGTATGGTCAAGGAACAGTACCAGTTGCAGGGAAATGCAAGTTGCATCTTAGGAATGTAAAGAATAACAAGAGGTACTTAGTTCCATTTGTTGTTGTGAAGGGCGAAGTCACAAGACCACTGTTGGGAGCTAGTACAGGCCAGCAGATGAAGTTGATCAAAGTACAGTATGAAAATATTGAAGTTGTTCATGCAGTAGCTAATGATGATATTCTGATCCCATACAAGGATGTATTTACAGGGTTGGGTAACATGCCAGGAGTAGTTCATTTGACCTTAGAGGCTGAGGCAAAGCCAGTAGTGATGCCCCCTAGAAGGGTCCCTCTTTCAATTAAAGAAGATTTGAAAGAAGAGTTGTGTAGGCTTGAAAAGCTGCAGGTGATTGAGAAGGTAGAAGATCCTAGTGATTGGGTATCTAGTCTTGTAGTAGCTAGGAAACCAAGTGGTAAATTGAGAGTATGCATTGATCCGCAACATCTTAATAGGTCGTTGAAGCGTGAGCATTACCCATTGTCAACGATTGATGATGTCCTACCACAGTTAGCGAATGTGAAAGTTTTCAGCAAGGCCGACTTGAAGGAAGGTTTTCTACAGTGTAAGTTGGACGCAGAATCATCCAAGCTTACAACATTTCAGACACCTTGGGGTAGATATAGGTTTCTTCGCTTACCCTTTGGTCTATCACCTTCGCCTGAGCTCTTCCAGAAGCGCCTAGATCAGTGCCTTGAAGGCCTACCAGGAGTATTCGTCATAGCAGATGACATTCTCATAACTGGACAGGGTGAGACACATGCAGAGGCCTGCATAGACCATGATCGTAACATGACTAGTTTCCTTCGCCGATGTCGCGAGCGAGACATCAAGCTGAATTCTAGCAAGCTTGAGTACAAATGTAAGGAGGTGCAGTTCATTGGTCACCGACTGACCAAGGAAGGTGTTCGGCCCGATCCTAGCAAAGTCGCAGCTCTCGTTGACATGCCACAGCCAGTAGATATACCTGGAATCCAGCGATTTGTGGGAATGGTTCAATACTTAGCAAAGTTCTTGCCATCATTGTCGGGGCTCAGCGAACCGTTACGTAGGTTGACCCACAAGGACACTCCCTGGAACTGGGGAGAAGAACAGTCTAGAGCGTTCATCGCGATCAAAGGACTTGTTACAGAAGCACCGGTTCTCCGATACTTTGATCAGCAGTTGCCGGTAGAGGGTCAAGGTGATGCCTCACAAAAGGGCCTGGGTTTCGTGTTGACTCAGAATGACCAACCGGTGACATACTCAAGTAGAGCGTTGACTGAGGCCGAAACTAGATATTCTCAGATCGAGAAGGAACTTCTTGCGCAAGTTTTCGGACTTGAACGAAACCATCAGTACGTGTACGGTAGAAAGGTGATCCTTTGGACAGACCACAAACCGCTAGTGACAATAACGCGTAAACCGTTGGCTTCTACACCAAAGAGACTGCAAAGATTACTATTGCGAATGCAACAGTACAATGTAGAGATCTTCTACAAGCCGGGTAGAGAGATGTACCTAGCAGACACCCTGTCGCGAGCATACTTACCGAACTCCGAGCAATCGCCGATAGAGAAAGAAGTTGAAAGCATTCACATGCTTGAGGACATAGCGGTGTCGCAGAAGACGTTAGCGCTCATCAGGATTGAAACGCAACAGGATGAAAGCCTACAAGCGGTAAAGGGACTGATCCTTGAGGGGTGGCCCGAAGACAAGTCTCGTCTGCCACCTGGGACTTCTCCATACTTTGACATCCGTGATGAACTAACGTATGATGAGGGTATAATCTTCCGCGGACAGCGGTGTGTAATTCCTGTCAAAGTGAGACCTCGTGTGAAACAGCGACTTCATAGCGCACACACAGGAATACAGGCCACACTCGCAAGGGCCAGAGAATGTGTATTTTGGCCAGGGATGACAAGCGATCTTACAGACTATCTCTCACACTGTGAAGTCTGTGCAACCTTTGCTCCGAAGCAAAGAAGTGAACCTCTGATCAATCATGACTTGCCGAAACGTCCGTGGCAGAAACTCGGTATAGACTTATTCGAGTTGAACAACAAGAACTATGTTTGTGTTGTGGACTATTTCTCAGACTACTTCGAAGTTCTTCCTCTGCCACACAAGAAAGATACCAGAGCAGTCGTCAGGCGACTAAAGAGCATTTTCGCATGTCACGGTATCCCAGAAACCATTATGTCGGACAATGGTCCCCCATTTAACTCTCAAGATTTCGCGACCTTCATGCAGGAGTATGAGATTGAGCACATCACGAGTTCCCCATATTATCCCAAGAGCAATGGGAAAGCGGAGAGTGCCGTCAAGATTGCGAAGGGTCTCTTACGTAAGACAACTGAAGCTCAAGAAGATTTTCAGCTAGCTCTTCTAAATTGGCGTAACACACCCACAGCAGGACTTGATAGCTCGCCAGCTCAACGCCTGTATGGTCGTCGCACTCGCACTCTTGTACCAACCGCGTCCAAGCTTCTGATTCCACGCACACAAAATAGAGTTGTCGCAAAGAAAGCGGAAAAGCAGAAGAAGCAAAAGCAGTACTACGATAAGAGCACGAAAGAGCTACCACCATTGAAACGCGGAGATATTGTTCGTGTTCAGCCGCAGTCTAACGCACAGAGTAAGCGATGGCACAAAGCGAGAGTAGAGAAACAAGTTGATTCCAGATCATATCTAGTCAGGTCAGAGAATGGCAATATAGTTCGACGAAACAGGAAGCACTTGCGCACATGTAGTAGCACATTCAGTGACCAGTCAGATATATTCTCCACGCCTACTAGCGTAACTCGCGAACAACCAGAGCCATCAACATCCGAAGCGAAGCGTAGCGACACAAATTCACCAGATCACGTAGCGAAGTCTCCTCGTCGCGAAGCAAATAATGATATTCGCGAACCCCAGCTCGCTGAAGAGACTCAAGAACCACCAAGACCAGCTCGCCGTAGTACCAGAGCTCGCCATCCACCAGCTCACATGAAAGATTTTGTTGTTTATCATTAAATAAACATTATGTGTAACTACTTTATATAGATGTAGACAGACAACTATATATTTGTTTCATTAAGAGAAAGTTAATTGTTTATACAGGAAAGTCACCTGTTAATTAACAAGAAAGAAAGTTAGTATGTTGTTTATATTGATTGGTTGATGTTGTTTAGACAAATCAAAACAAAAGTATTTGATTTTGGATCTATTTGAAATTTGATGAAGATGATACATAATCTAAGCCAGTGTTCCAAAGGACTAATCGAGAGAAAACAGAATTTAAGCTCATATGTATTGTCTCAAAAGAACAACAAAACCACTCAAGTGTAATTATGCATCCATGCTGAAGTTGATTTATTATGATACTATTTCTATAAACACAGATATTTCCAGAGGATTTATAATTAGATTTATGTGTACTGACATGGGCATTCATATATGCATTTCAGGCCGACAAACTAATATACAGGTATTAACTTCTTAAAGAAGGAAGGATGTTATATATGGTTTAGAGTGGCAGTGCGCCCTCTTGTGTTATGTACGGACTTGACAACCAGAATGAAGATTACTAGAATAAAGCACTAACCAGTTGAAGTTGTAAACTTTAAACAGACTTTATTGCCTATTATGTAGAGTCAAACAAAAGCATAAAACAGAAAGAATGCTTGCATGGCCTATCAATCCTAAGATGGGGGGAAATATGTCACATTCGCATTCGAATAGTTTAACAACCTATATGTGGTGCAATGTTGTCAATCAGTCAATCACACTGTAACGTTCACATGTTTACACTCTTGGATACATCTTCCACATAGATGTAGAGAGAATTATTTAAGATCATCTGAAATTTTGGGCATTTTCAAATGAACAAACCCTGATTATTACTGACACATTGGCTACTGGTTACGCATATCGATAGGATAGTTTATAAGAACAACGTTCGATAATGATTCTATCTAGAAAACGGGTCTTGGAAATTCTCCCTCTCTGCCATTAACAAGTTATATGTTGTTATCACATCTTAAACTAATTGATGTGTAATTAATTATGGCTAGTCTAAAGTTCTTACCTCATCCTGTGACCCTTGACTGAATGCCAAAGAAACCCCTTCTTCTTCTTCTACCTCGACCACTCTTCTGAGACACAAGAAGCTTGGTTCTGATAAGAGCTGGAGAGTGGTTTCACCATGGGGTCTTTCTCCAGGTTTATTTTGCCAGCAGGATTCCATCAATGCACCCAAGGCAGGGAAGACTTGTTTAGGGGGCATCGTATACTCATGGAAGTTGAAAGTTGGTTTGCGACCCTCGTTGACGGCCAGCTCAATCTCAATGCGACTGTGTTGATCATAGTAGGGAACCAAGCCGGTCATCAGATGATATAGAAACATCCCGTAAGAAAACCAATCCACCTGGTCAAATAACATCACCATTAGAACATTAACTCTAAATGATTTTTTAAAATCATGCATGATCTCCCTTAAAACTGACTCTTATGTGACAGTGCCATACAAATGGGTAAATTTAATTTCTCAACATTTGGATTTCCAATGAGTGGAAGCTATAGTGTATTTGGAGCAAAAAAAAGGGTTTTACAATAATATTTTAAAAATTATTAACTTCTCACGATTAATGACAAAAAGGTAATAATTTTAGAACTATGTTCGGGCAGTTGTAGGTGAAACTTTTTTTTTCCACCTGCTTGGATAATATCACTGGATGATTCTGATTCCTATTTTACAACTCAAAATCATATGATACGATTACAAATGATATAATACAAGAGATTGATAATATAAAGTCAAATACATGAAAAAACAAAGCGAATCTAATAAAAAGAAAAAGCAAATATTGCAAAATAGTAAACATCCCTGTATAAAAGGTTTTCAAACTTCGAAAGTTTTAAAGTCTATCTGCACTAGTTTGACAAGGAGGGATTAGACCGCACTGCATGGTTACTGGCAGGTGGAATCATGAAATCAGCTCTCAATTAACTTAAGAAAAAGGGGACGATGGGGGACCGACGGGTATCTCTTAGGCATTGTTGGCTGTATAGAGGGTGCAAGTAGCTACAAGTAGTGCAGTCCCGCTTAAAAGAATAGATTAGCTATAACAAAAAATTCCATATGATCAGAATCCCTTGAAATGTGATTGAGATTTAATTTGAGCTTAATTGCTAACATTCAATACTAACAAAAAAGGATTGTGGTGTCAAGATTGGAACATCATAACATTTATGAATTAACAGCTGGTACAGAGAGACCTATGTGCATGTACAATATACTGATAATGATAAGTGATCCTAGTACTTACCTTCTCATCAAACGTCTTGCCCTGCAGGATCTCTGGTGCACAGAACCCTGGTGTACCTGCCATTCCCATCGCTCCCATCAAGTCATACTTCTTAGATATACCATAGTCTATCAGCTTGATATTCACATCTTCATTGACATCAGATGAGAAAAGCAAGATATTGTCTGTCTTCAGATCGCAGTAGATGATGTCTTTTCTGTGTAGGTACCCTACGGCTGATGCAACCTGTAGGCTGATCTTGTACGTCAGCATTCTACTTAGAACAGGTTCCAGTACAATGTTCCTCTTCACAAAGTGTGGCCTTGCAGACTGGTGCTCAGCAAACAGGTAGCTTCGGAGATCACCAAGAGGTGCATAGTCCATTGCAAAGCAGAGGTGTCTGATGGACACACCGACAAGATTGACGATGTATGGATGATCGAGTTTAGCCATGATTGCAACCTCGTTTCTCAGCTTATGGAAACTCTCCATCAACATGGCTGCCTCTAAAGAGTCATTCTCCGTTGAAGTGGATTCTCCCGTCCTGTTCGACGTAGAGGAAGATGTAGATGCACATGATGCATACCCTTCACTAGCAGAAGAGAACATCCGATTCTTTAAGAGTCGTGATGGAAGCATGGTCTTGGCTGCTACAGTCTCTCCACGGAACTTTGCCCTGAATACTTCGCCAAAGCCACCCTGTCCTAGAGATTGCCCTGACACCATGTGCAGCGTGAAGTCTTCCTGCTTGAAATGCCTGATGCTAAGGTCTTTCATGAACATGTCAGGTATAAGAACGGAAATTGTGATGGGCTTCTCCTTGGAGTTGGCACATGCAGTAATGTGAGTCTCACCACGGACATATGTCTGTGCCAGTTCCTCTACTGTGTAGCAATGAGGTAAATCCTCTGTCACAGGTTCAAAATCATCAGGTCCATGAATTACACAGATTGGGCAAGGAACCAGTCTCTGGACCTTCGGCTGAATGCTTTCATGGATTGATGTACACAAACCTAGGGAAAATAAAAAGCTGCTGTCAACTGATGCATGAAATTGACCATACATATTGTTTTATATGATAGTAAATTAGCCATTAATAATTATGTTAATGCATGTGTATACCATTATAACATTGTCATAGTTTTACCCCATTATTCTCTTACTCCACTTACTCCGTCTATCACTAACCTAGACACTAATATAATATATGACACACCCCATCTATATGACTCACCTGGATACCAGTCCTTGATAAGACCCTCTATCTGGTCCACCACGCATCCCATGGCAGAGAAGTGGCCCTCTTGGCAGCTGATGAGGATGTCCACTCCTGGAGACTTGTCAGTTGAAGGAAAGACCATTGAGCGCACCAGGATCTGTCCAGTATTGTGCCTGAAGAATATTCCTTCCCTCCAGTAGATAGACTCTGTCTGGTGGAAGCTGATGGCCTCCGAGATGCTGCTCTTCCTTTGAAATGGAAACATTTCATCATCTGTTAACCTTTTCAGGACAAGATTTATTCATAGGTCTAAATTGATGAAATATTGTTGTTGTAATCGGCAACAATAATATTTCTCTTTCATTGCTACATTGTTGAAAATGAAATTCAATGTCTCCAAAAACAATTTACATGGGGCGAAAATGTTGTCGAAAAGTTAAAAATATGGCTAATTTTGATCGAATTTTTCAAATTTCAAATTTCTAAACGTGTTGCCCGTTTTAAAACCTATTTTCCTTCTAAAAATTCCTGGCATCAAACACAATATAGCCATGAATAAAAAAATTGTCAATCAGAAATCTTTGCCCTTTGTACTTATGCATTTGGCTTTTTAGGGTTCTGAATGAAAAGTTATACTGCTAAACCACGAACTGTGTCATGATTGTCGGAAAAGGGTTCAAAAGTCTGTAATCTATGTGCAGAAAAACTTTAGTGTACACATACCAAGATGAACATCTAATAAGCAGTTTGTACAAAAAATGTGAGGAATTAAGATTGATCAGCTTTGCATCACAAATCCAAAACTATTCAGGCAAAGGATTAGGTTAATTGTTCCTATCTGTACAACACGTTTGCTTTTCATTTTTGACTTGATCATTTCAAATCTTGTGCATCCTTTGTAAAAAAAAAAGCTTATGAGTTTAAGCAGAAATACTCTAACTACCCAAACACAACTTTGTATTAATAAGACTTTTATAGTAGCTGTGATAAGAGGGGAGCAGGTCAACTTGAAATATAAAATTATTCCCAAAATTCGGATCATGACATATAGTCACTTAAATTACCTTATCCCAGTAAGAAATGAATCTCATTTTAATTTCTCATGGATCACTTCCCATTGTTTATTATTATGAGACGGTTCTAACCTCTTTGAAGAGCCGAGATTTCTCTCGTTTCCTGCTGAACTAATCTTCTTCTTCTTATCACGCATCTGAAGATCAGCAATAAGACGTGACACCAGTCTGATCCAGAATCCTGGAGGTAGATAGGGCATCTTGTAAATCCTCCTCAGATAGTGGAATGGTGCATCGTCGGTGTTGTGCGGTGACAGCATCACACCAGGGTTGTCACGAGGGAGGCGGGCAGGTACCAAATACCTTGATGTTTATGATAACAATACAACTGTGAATGGATTCCATGCATAGATATATCATTTCAGGTTTTTTTTAGTCACTTTCTCATGGCTCTATGCTGTATCAGTCATCTATTTGTAGCTATTCCATTGTGAAATTCGAATCCAGTCGATTTTAGCTGAAGACTTTTCCAGATATGGAGCAGTAAATCATAAAGTGCTATACGCTTCACACTTTTTTTTGTCTGTGCCGGTTATATATCTGAATGAGCTTTAAACCCTTTTTTTTAACGCAGACAAATAGTTAAACTACTCTTACGTTTATTGTCTTACTTCCTTAAAACCAGGATAATGAAAGTTAGAATATATTGTAATTTTAACAAGCAAATCAGTGGATGGTAAATATATATTGAACGTGAAAAGGCCTGTTTTCAAATAATGTAAAAGGTAAATCTATTAGTTGACCCGAAGAAATATTATGCTCCGGTTACTATCGAAGAGCTAATTGAACTCAGTACTGGAAAGTTTACTATTCATATATACACTATACTTGAGAGGTCAGATTCCTGTTCAAAAGCTTACTATGTCTTACCAGTGATGTGAGATTGGAACCACAATCTCAAAGCGAGCTAAGAGTTGAAGATACTGCTCAAACTTATCCTCTTCAATGGAACTCTTCTTACTCAGCTCTCTAAGGGTCTCTACGTGGACTTTGCCTCCTTTAAGACTCCCTATGGGTAGTGCAGTAACCCTCTGCAACGTACAGGCTAGCCATACTGGATCAATGAAGTAGAGGTCATTCAAACCATTCAGGTGATCAGTGAAGTGGACGATGCTACCAATCTCATGCAGGAAAAGGATTGCTGATGGACAAATAAAAGAAGTATGTATTTTATGTCAGTTGAATAATAAGCAATTTTGGAAGACACATACATACACATTTACATGTTTTGGTGTATATTTAGGACTGGTATGTACACATCAACATGTTTACATGTTCAAGGATACATGTATGTAGGAATATTACATCCCGAGGACGATATGAAAATTGACCGCATAACGAGGACCCAAATAAACTAACAAGAAAGGGCCTCCAATTTTTAACAATTTACAGTGTTCTCAAAACGAGGACGTCCTTGTTTTTCAAGTGGTTGCCAAAGTGACGGTAAAGTTCTTTTGAGTGTTCTCGGTACCCATACACACACTCATGCACACACCCTTGCACCCATCATGCAGTCATACTATACATACAGAGGCAACCTCCACAGAAAGATAACATTATATTTGGCATGGATGGGAATCCAGTACTGCTGCAAATGTATATTGTTTGGAGTATACATGTATTATAAATAATCCGTATGTGTGCCAAATGTCAACTGTGGCAGTCCAGTGTGTGTTCCATTGGTCAACCAATGCTGATAAAGAGTTAACCTAGCTGCTAACATTGGCCGGACAGCCTGTTACAGTTCTAGATTGACTTGTATTAAACCCATTCAGAACAGTCAAACCCGCTACAATGATTACTTTGATAGAAATGCAGATGTGTGGACCCCAACTACACCTGGGAGTCTTTCATAAAGACAAATTTCAACTTTAGTTGGACTTGAAATATGGAAGACCGTTTATACTACTGTTGCTCTCACCGTTTCTAGCACTGTGTGGTATCTATTGGGATGTGCAAATTTTGGTCACAAATCTAGATAATTAATTTTTGGATAGTTTATTATTCAAGAGAAAATATACTCATAATTTTACATCTGGTTCAAGACTTTTTAGGGGCATAAATTTCCTACCATATAGTATAAGTCCAAATCTGATGTAGAACTTCTATTTTAATGAGTTTTTTCTTCAACAATGAACTATCAATCTTTGTTTTTATGAACACTCCCATTTGCATAGGCTACCAATCAATACACAAGAGAAGAAGTACATTATACAATATGAGAAGGCATACATGTACATTCCTTCATTTGAGTAGCACTTCATGGGGCTAAAATCATGATAAATGAATTGAAAACACACTTTAGAGAATCCAGCACGATGATAGATTTTCAAAATTAAATGACGAAAAGAGATCTACCCACCTTCATCTTCGAATAAGTTGTCAGAAAAAATTCCTTAAAGAATCCACTTCCATTAAACATTTTTTTACAATCAAATGTGGAAAAAGAGATCCCCCAAATCTTCTAAAAGTTGTAACATGAAAGTAATATCGAGTTACCTTCCTGTAATTCAATGGGTGTTCGTAGTCCACTGTCAGGTATGAGTTTTACTATATCATCAGCTAGCTCAGTCTTGGTCATGATCGGCAGAATAGGAGGATCAGCTTTCTGACGCACTTCAACCTCCTCCGAGATACGCTTCTTCAGATTGAAGTATGGCTGGGGAACCTGGACCGTAAAAACATTCAGTTCTTTTCATAAAACACACTTTCATGCAGAAGAATCCAACTTCAACAGCAACAAAAGTCTTGCTATAATACCATTAAAGCGGTCAATAGCCACAGAGTGATACAATTTTGTCATTGCATTCAATCAATTGCATTCAAACTAATGCATTGAAACAAACGCAGATATTGGTTCACAAGCAAGTTTTGTCTGTTTAATCATATTTGTACCTGTACATTGTTTTATGTATTGCTTTCTTTGTGTAACACATCATAATTATATGACAGTCTATGTTCACATACTACTAAATGCCTATAAATCTTAAATGTACTGAATGTATGTACGTAGTGGACAGTAGAGTCCCGATCTAGCTAGCATCAACCTTTCCATCCATCTCTATCAAAATATTTACAAAGGCATAATCCACACATTATGTATTGACTGGTTTAATCTATATTTAGGTGGTAGACAGATTTTTGTTGGCCATGTCAGACAATGCTTTTGATTGGAATGCACAGCATCTATAAGATTTAGGATATGAGTCCTTAATCTGTGTAAAAGATCGAATGGATAATTAATGTAATAAAATGATGACGTAGATCCTAATCAAATGATTGGTTGAAAGCATACATGTGACCATGCATTTATTTAGCCTAACGCGAAATTTGGATAACTACCGGTCATTATCCATTGGTAATGACCGGTCATTGGCGATCACGTTTTGCGATCGTAACCATTGAGATTTATCGTTTTACTTTTACTCGCGAAAATGGCTGCCGCGGAATTTAAACCGCACAGATCAGTCATAGTCAGATGTAGACCTAGAATTAGTAATGTACGAACTTTGAGATGAGGGTGATTTATCAAATTACAAGGATCCACGTCATAATTTTATAAAACAAATAATACACAGCTTTTTGTTCGGGCATTAGTAAAATTACCCACACTCGGTACCTTTGAAACAGTCGAAACACCCTCGGCTATCGCCTCGGGCGTGTTAGAATGTTTCAAAGGTACCTTGTGTGGGTAATTCTTACTAATGCCCTCACTGCAGTGCATTATTTGTATATTACGATAATGGAACTTTACCTTTCTCCCAATAAGCCTCTCCACATATGCAGGTCTCGTATGACGGAACTCCATCTTCATAGCAGTCTCATAGATGACCCGTCTCAGCTCAGCCATGCCACTGTTCTTACTTCCTCTAGCATCTACCTCAACTGTCCCTGCAACCGATGGGAATCCTGGTCCAACATTCAGCATCTCATCAAGCTGACTCCTTAGGTCAATCATATCAACAGGAGAATTCTGAACCACATCATGATAGTCCGGCAGCCAAACCCGGATTTGGGGCCTAACCTTGTTTTGGTGAAATAAGTTTTTTTTTTCATGGATTCTGATTGTCTAGGTATCCACTGTGAACAAGCAAAAAACTGGAGCTCTGTCAACCTTGAGCAATTTGAGATATAAGCAAAAACAAAATGGCCGCCAAAATGGCGTTTTCTGCTCTAAAAATATGTGAAAATGTATACTTTGTCATGTTTTATTTCTACATTTAGAACCCTTTTCTGATTTCTTTTACCAGATATGATCTATATTTTGATAATTCTAAATATTATTTTAGATGGCAGAGCCCAATTTATACATTATTGATACAGGGTGATTCATAAAAAAGTGTACAAGAGATTGGCTGTTTGCGATTTCTACTTCGATAACAAGCAATCAATGTATACACACTCTGGCAACATATTTTGTGATGTATATAATCTGCATTTTAATTGAAGCTAATTGATGTCACCTATCATCATATCGCCTTTAGCAATTTGTGATTATAAGCAAAAACAAAATGGCCGCCAAAATGACGTTTTCTGCTTTAAGAATATGTGAAAATGTATACTTTGTCATGTTTTATTGCTGCATTAAGAACGCTTTTCTGATTCTATTTAACCAGATAATTATGATATATATGATATATATTTTGATAATTCTAAACGTGGTTTTAGATGGCAGAGCAATTTATACATTTATACAGGGTGATTCATAAAAAAAAAGTGTACAAGAGATTGGCTGTTTGCGATTTTTACTTCGATAACAAGCAATCAATGTATGTACATATACGCTGCATTTTAATTAAAGCTAATTGATGTAGCCTATCATCTCAAAGCAAATGTATTTGTAGAGATACCCTGTTGAACATACACACACATATATGATGAACTGCTACGATTCAAGAAGTGTGCAGCTGTAGAGGCAGGGAAAACACTGAACTGACAGCACTATCAAGTGCTGAAGATGGTCTTGTTCAGATCATAGTTGACAACTTCCCGTGCAGTTCTCATGACCCAGCCAGATACAAGCATGTACCATGATGATCAGCAAGAGATTTCACAACTGAAGAAGGCTGAGATGTCTAGAGATATTGACTACAAGCTTGACATCATGAGATACAATAGTCTAAGAAAACCAGATATGCCACCTGTCCACCTGTCAAGAACCAAGTTCCACCACTTAGTGTTCTCGCTCATATGGTTTCTAGACAGAGACCTAATGAATGTGACCACAGGTTCTTGACAGATGTTGTGCAGCGTGATAACTGTCCTGAATTCAATGGATATAATACGCATTTTTGTGTCGCAATCAAGGGGAAGCCACACAACCGAAAAAATAAAGCAGCGTATCTATCGTTGATTGATATGCCACCAGCACATCCAGACATAATAATGACAGCCATGAGCAAATCACCGCAGTTAAACAGAGAAAACTGGTCAATGTTTCACTGTCTTCACTGCAGATCAACAACTGTACAGGGTTGCAGTAGAGGTACAACCTGATCAAACCAGTACTGATAATGATGCTCTATGTACGGGCTGAACGAGAATTAAAGTGATTGGCCTCTACACCTGGAGGCAGTGAGGCTTATGATGCTTTGCGTCGGGACATGTAAACTACGCGCGATATCGGTTATTCTACCTTCGACGCATGGAAGCCCTACCAGGAGATGCACTCCAGTATTCCATGAAAAGGTCTCATGTGATGAGACACACTCAAGGCTTATGGAATGGCATATGGAGCGACATGGGCATGGTAATGCTGGTGTGATTGGCATCACTCTAAAGCCAGAAACTCTCAAGACATGCATGGGCCCTTAGCTTGCACATATGTATCAGACTTGTGGAAGACGTTCCAACTCTGACAGACAAGTCGGCTAGTTCTAATACAGTGCACAAAGAAGAGGCTCCAGCAAGGATATCTGCAGACCATGGTGACAGAGACTGGTTGCGCAGAAGACTGGATGTGAGCATCGATCCAATGGACCCAAAGAAGCACCCAGCGAACATTGTCAATGTGGTCAATGGACAGATCGCTCCTGAATCAGTGAATGTGGACAGAGTAGTTGAAACTGGTGCTCAGTAAATGGGTGAATTTGAACGGAAATTGCCTGGAGGTTTCTACGACACAATTTCAAAGAAAGTTCAAACCATGGCTGTCATGAAGAAATCAATTGTCAGAATTGACGTAGGCGATTCCAAGGTATACGATACCAAGTTGATATACTCTCGCGTGATAGGTCTACAAGCAAGTTCCAGAGATGTTGAATTTCATGATGTAATGTCATGAGAGCTGTCGCCAGTTCCTACAGCTCTGTTTGATGAGTCTGGAGATATGGATATCTCGAAGTCCATGGCCGCTTTGAAGAACCAGAGCGAAGGTTGAAATATCAGCTAGACACGCGACACTTGAAGAAACGTGTAGAGTGATCGATGGATGTGCTCTCCTTTGGATTCCTAATTGGCCTTCATCATCACGAACACGACAACCAACAGTGATGGACTTTGTATCGAAATTCAAAGGCAAGATTGAAGAGAGACTAAAATCCGGTGATGTGTACTTGGTATTTGACAGGTCAATGATTACAGTACCAAGTGTACAACCAGGATATCGAGAGGCAATGACGGTTGCAGAGTTTTCCAACTGAGTCCAACTTCACCCCTTCCGTCTCAGAAACTGACTCTGACAGTCACAGAGAACAAGAAACAGTTGATTAACATCATTTGTCAACATCTGAAAGGCGATGCAGGTTTCATCATAAAACACAAGCTTGTGATCACCAGCCAAGATGGCACTCCTGTTCAACTAGGTCCAGGTGGTGTTCCACGATATGGCCACATCTCATGAGGAGGCTGATGTGATTATTGTGTAGCAGGCTATCATGCTTGCAGATGAACGGCGATCCATCAGGGTGCTTGCAGACGACACAGATGTCTATGTTCTTCTGCTTCATATTTCTACCAAAAGCAAGGCCTTCAGTCACCCTTGATAATGGAGTCGCCCATCAGAGACAGATCTGTAATCGATATACATGCCACAGTGGACAGACACAGAAACATCATCCCTTTTATGTTAGCAGGTCACCCATTGACAGGTTGTGATACTGTTGGTGCACATTTTGGAGTTGGCAAAGGAACTTTGCTAAAAAGTGATGCGGCAGAAAAATGGGTTCCCATCGCCATCGATTGGAGACATACATGCAGATATGGCCGACGTGATGAAAGATGCAACAGCGCTCATAACATCATGATATGGACAACCCAAGGCTACGACACTGTCAGATGCCGGACTAAATGTGTGGACTACACGGGTCGGGAAAGCAGGAGCTACCACACTCCAAATCTTGCTGCAATGCCACCAACAACTGAAGCTTTCAAAGATAATGTTAAGCGTGCCCATCTTCAAACATGGATTTGGAAGAGTGCTTCGGAATTGAATCCATGGACATTGGATCCCACTGCATTTGGTTACATGAAAGACGAAGCAACAAAGTCACTCATCCCGGTAACCATTCCACCAAATGTGAAACTTGCACCTGCAAACATACTAAGACTTATACGTTGCAATTGTGCAAGTGACAACCCATGCAAATCATCAGGATGTGGATGCAACAAAGCCAAATTAGCTTGCACAATGTTCTGTGCGTGCCATGCATCCGTGCGATGTCTAAATGATCAGACTCTGGCGGCAAAAAAATGTAAATCAAAATGACAGTGATGCGTGAGCTCAGTTTCAGCAAAGGAAGAAAAGGCGTATCCTTAAAAGAATTGCGTACAAGATGAATTGTGAAGGTAAAATTCCTAATATCGCTATAAAATGGTAACATATTCATGAAAGAAGAGTGATCAAATTATTATTATTTTTCACGAAATGGTATCTTAGGAATTCAAACCTGTGAAAACAAATGTTTATTACTATAGACTATTGATAGAAATTGTGTGATAAACTAACATTGCCGCCATTTTGAATATGTAAATGAGCAAACGTACAACAGCCTAAAGTCAAATATCCAAATCAATTCATCTCTGATTCATGAAGTACCAGTATACTACTCTGCCAATTTCCGTAATGTATAATACTTATGGCAAATGTTGATTAAAATTTATCATTTTGGTGGCCATTTTGTTTTTTCCCATTATCTAAATTAGTAATTATTGACAAATGAGTATGACATAAGTATTTGGTACAGTTGGGTATTCTAAGAATGAAAAACATAAGATAGAAGGAAATGAGTATAATACTATTTTATTGTGATTCTAAACTTAACAGCTGGCATTTATCCGCCATTTTGAATATGCAAATAAGCAACAATTACAATGGAAAAATATGCTAATTAGGTCATCTATGGTCATCTATGTTCACGTATGGTCATCAGGAATGTGTTGACAATGGTCTTCATGAATTATAAGCACACCATTCCGCCAATATTTTGTAATGTATTATGAAATAATTCAAATTTGACTGAAAATAGGCTATTTTGGCGGCCATTTTGTTTTTGGCCATATCTTAAATTGCTCAACACTGACAAAGTTCCAGTTTTCTGTTTGGTCATCTGCAATGCCTAAGGAAACAGAATCCATCAAGAAAAAAACTTATTTCAACAAAACGAGGTGTAGCTCAGTGGCTGCCGGACTATGATGGGTACCAACGATGACGATACCGAAGTCTGAAGATCTCGACTATATAGAATAAAAAAGGAATCAGTGTCAATTCATTGGAGGTAGGTAGAAGACTCGCTTGAAAACATATTATAGTATGCTTATGATCGAGAGACCAGGGTTCATACAAACGAAAGTTAAGAGAATGGTGAGACTAACTAGAGGTGTTGTGGTCTAGTGGATAATTCACCCGACTGCAGACAAGGTACGGGGTTCAAGTCCCGCCGCGGAACTACTGTCCTTTGACCCTGTTGTAAATGGGTACCTGATATGCTTGAGCGCCAGTTACTTTGGCAGCTCGACTATAACCAGGGTAAT